CAGGCTCCGGACATGCAGGCTCAGTGGCCATGGCTCACAGGCCCAGCCGCTCTGCGGCATGTGGGATCTTCCCGGACCGGGGCATGAACCCGTGTCCCCTGCATCGGCAAGCGGACTCTCAACCACTGCGCCACCAGGGAAGCCCCAATTCCTTCCAATTTTTGCCTAGCCAGCCCAGAATTCTCTGTGACTAAAACTATGCAAGTTTTTCAATCTTTGGGAAAATAATATCAGATGACAAGATGAGGCTGATGAGGTATCTTGCAGAGAACCCAAGTAGATAAAACAATGAACTCCTCCCAGAAAGCTTAATTCATCTATTAAGGACACTTCTAGGGAATTCCCTGACTGTCCAGTGGTTAGGACTCCGAGCTTGCATTGCAGGGGGCACGGGTTCCATCCCTGGTCGGGAACTAAGATCCCGCATGCTGCGACATGGCCAAAAAAAGGACACCTCTATGAGGAGCTATGATGCTAAGAGATAGTGATTTATTATATTCCACAAGCGATTGAACCCTTAGTGAAAGATTTCTGGGAGTGTTCTTTTCTGAATAGACATTAAGTAAGCATTCATTAAACCTGGGAGGTTCAGTCTTCCAATTTGCGTAGTGAATTGGAACCACAGTAGCCTTAATATGAATGGAGATATGGGTAACTCAGTACCATGAAATGGGAAATGCATTTTAATTACCCCAGGGATATTTTTTTTTTTGCAAACGAATTGCTTCTATTTTTATGACAATATTGGATCATGAACCCATTCACCTTAATGTTGAGTAATGAGGTCTATAAAGCAGGTCATAAAAATGCTTTGTTTGCAATGCTGTTTTTAGAAACTCCAATCTTATGGAAAAATCACTCTCATTATTAAAAGCTTGTGTAGTTCTTCAAGAATCCTAGAAATGAAGGATTCCCATGAACTTAAGAAGACCCTTCTCACCTTAATTAAGGAATCAAAGGATTTGAAGACAATAGTAAGAATTATTTCTAAATTTTCTTCAAATCTATATAAAACATACACTTCTTTGCTGCTAGCATAAAGTAGAATTTAATCTAGAAATGGCTGAAAATATTCTGAAAAGACATTGTAGGTACAATTAGGTAACAGTCTGAGACAATAGACCAATAATAGTTTCAAGGAAAAATATTCTCTGTTGACTGATATTTCTGCTATTATATATATATATATAATGAAAATCTCACCTTAGAAAATCAAAAGGTAACTTTTAAGAATAGTGAATGCAAATTAAGAGAAGACTAATAACATATTTTTACTCATTAGATTAGCACAAAATTTAAAGGCAATAACATTCATAGCTAATGAGGATGTCATCCTCACACTTTGTATGAGTTGCTACAAATTGGAGAAAATAGTCTGGAAATGTGTATTAAAATTTAAAGTATGCACAATTCTGAACTAGCAATACTACTTTTGGGGACTCTGTCCTACTATAATTAAAAATACACGTATTGGGAATTCCCTGGCTGTCCAATGGTTAGGACTAGGCGCTTTCACTGCAGTGATCCAGGTTCAATATCTGGTCGCCTGGTTGGGAAACTAAGATCCCTCAAGCCAAGGGCCAAAAAACAAACAAACAAACAAAAAACAACAAGAACAAAACACACTTGTATCTAAGATAAATGGATAAAGGTGTATGTTGCACTGTTGCAACATTGTCTGTCAGTAAAAAGAAGAAAAAATAAAAAAAATTTAAAAAGCTAGAAATAACCTGAATGTCTATAATTACAGTTAATCAATAAAAATATTATTTGACTATAAAAATTATGAATTAGATGTTGATGTTAATATTGGAGGGATGCCTTTGATTTAATAATAAAAAGTTACAGAGTAATATAGAGAATATAGTCTCTTTTCTGTGAAAATTAAAAAAAAAAACATATTTGTGTGTTTGTAAAAGCATGGAGATTTTAATATTGATTGCTCAGGGTAGTGGCAGTACTAAGAGATGATTTAAAAGGGGGCTTTAGATCTCCATAATCTACATTAGTTCCCTCAAAAGCCATTCTACATAAAAAGAAGTAAAAAGAGTGTGCTTGCTATTTGCACACAGCTCCAAGAAAATCACCTATTCCTTTCCCACCCTAAGCAAATCACCACACGTAAAAAATGTCATGTGGAAATTCTGAAGTCTTCTTAACTTCAGCAAAGTAAATTGGAAAGGAGCTGGCTTTTTCATATATATCTTTAAAATTTTTTTTCAAGCTGTCATGTAATATATTTTTTAACATCTTTATTGGAGTATAATTGCTTTACAATGTTGTATTAGTTTCTGCTGTATAACAAAGTGAATTAGCTATATGTATACATATATCCCCATATCTCCTCCCTCTTGCATCTCCCTCTCACTGTCATGTAATATTTTTGAAACTTAAAACAATACTCTAAAAAAAGTTATGGTGGGGCTTCCCTGGTGGCGCAGTGGTTGAGAGTCCACCTGCCAATGCAGGGGACATGGGTTCGTGCCCTGGTCCGGGAAGATCCCACATGCCGCGGAGCGGCTGGGCACGTGAGCCATGGCCGCTGAGCCTACGCGTCTGGAGCTTGTGCTCCTCAACGGGAGAGGCCACTACAGTGAGAGGCCCATGTACCACAAAAAAACCCAAACCAAAACAAACAAACAAAAAAAAACTATTTAGGAATAGTTGGAACTATTTAGGAATTTATACCACTGTGTGTTGGGTGGGAGGAGGGTGTCAGGGGTGTTCAGGAAGAAAATTAGTTGTAATTACTAAAAGTAATAGAAGTTTTAGTTGTCTTTTCATTGGTTTGTTCAATTCATGTTCCTTCATTTTTTTCCCAGCAATTTTCCTTCTCTCCGAACTGTACCCAAAGTCTAGACATTGTTAGCTGTTAGAACTAGAAAAGGTCAGAGTGCTTCCTCAGATTATTCTGTAGTCAATTCTTTCTCACCCTGTCTTTGAAGTGATAGCATTTGCTTCCAAGTTCACATACTATATTTTTTCAAACAAAATTCCTGCTGCTAATATAGTGGCAAACTAGATTTAGGATTAGTCTTCCAGAATTCATGAGCTTGCACAAGCTATTGGTCTTTCATTCCCATGACCATTTCTCCTTGTAACCAAAAGTGCCCACTATGGAACTAAGTTTTCTCGTGCTTGTTATCTAAGAAAAGTTAGATAATTTAAACTTCAACTCTCACACATGCAGAAAAATTAGGAGGTTTATACATACATAGTAGTTTGTGCATACCTCCATCATATCTATTATGTCATGTGTATGCATGTGACTATATCCCCATAAATCTAAACTTCAATAAGGCAGGCACCATGTTTTTTATCTCATTATTTTCCAGTGTCTAGCAGAGTGCTTGACATAATAAGTACTAATAAATGTTTATTGGATAAATAAAAGTATAAACAAATGAATATTTAATGAACGCCTATTTAGTCCAAGAATATAGTTATTTACCTTTTGTGTAAAATATTAGTAGTAGTATTGTTCTGAGGCTGCATAACAGCCTCAGAAGCTAAATGTGAGAATCATATAAAGTAACTAAAGTGAAAATAATTTGTGTACAGCAAAGTACTATGGAAGTAAGAACTCCATTGAGAAGATTATTGAAATAGGCCACAGATCCACTACTAGGTAGACTTACAGTCTCAGAAACATAGAATTGAGGGTTCTCATTCTCAATTACACATGTTAAAAAATAGAGCTTGGTGAATTCACTTTAAATCTATATTGGCTGTATTTGAATTTTCTCTTGTTCCTTAATTTTGCTTTTGTACCATTCTAATCAGACACTTAAGATACATCTTCAGTGGACCTTGAGGTTTCAAAATATTCAAAACCAAATATTTTAGAAGTATTTAAGTAAATAAATTATCTAAATATATTATTTATTGTATTAAAATACATAAAGTTTTCAGTTAGTTTTTTTTCCCCCCAACTCTGATGGTAACTTCCAGTTTCTGAAAAATTTTTTAACAGGACTTGCTTGGCATAGCAAAAAGAAAAGATATGTGTGTTCCAGCCACTGAGCAGGGCCTTGGCTGAGTCATTAACTCACCTAGGTGTGAACTTGGACCAGATCCTTGGTTTCTCTTGTTTTAGTTTGCTCATTCTTTCTAAACCCAAAGGAGATAAACCATAATATCCCTAAAGATTACTTCCTTCTCCTAACATTTTATGATTTGATAGTTTAATTCTGTCACTTTCCAATTACAATTCTGCTTCAGGTTGAAAAAAAAAAAACCATAATCCTGCTTTCTCATGTTGGCAAGTCTTGTTTCTATAAACCATCTTAAGAAACATTCATGTGATGGTCCTCACAAGCACAAAATAGAGTAGTTATTGATATCAATATATTCCTTGTATACATTAATTAAATTAATCTAATATTTGCCAAACTTTCACCTGACTTTGTTCAAACAAATACTAAAACATCTTGGAGAAATCATGCACATACACACACACAATATAAGTATCATTTATGTGGTTCTACCCATCATTAGCTTTCCTCCTCCATCTGAAAATCAAAACCTCTTCATGTACGTTGTTTTACTATAGTATTCAGGAGTAAGATACCTTTTGGACATAAGAATGTGGAGGGAAATTAGTCTGTTTTCAGCATCCAGTCTCTGAGCTAAGGATTTCCCACCACCCGCTGCTTTCTACACTTCAAAACTACTGCTCCAACTAGATTTCCTGGGAGGAGAAGAGAAAACTGGAAGGGGGGGGAAGAAGGTTGGTGCGAGCAAGAGGCGGGGTTGAGGAATGGGAGGCAAGAGGAGGCGTGGCCCGGCTCGACTGTCAAGATAAATACTGAGAACTGGGTGCCGGCTGTGGAGAGAGAACTCCGGAGGAACGCCAGAGCTTAACAGCACCGAGGACAGCGCCTGGCAGCGCCTGCGCTCTGCCCTTCTTCCTCCAGCAGCCCAGGATTTCTTCTTTACACACACACACACACACACACACACACACACACACACACACACCCTGAGGTTCTCACCCCACTTTCGCCCTGACATACTCACACACGCATATTCCACGCAGACACACACTCCGCTATACAATGGCAGAATCCCACCTGCAATCATCCGTGATCACAGCCTCACAGTTTTTCGAGATCTGGCTTCATTTCGACGCTGACGGTGATTATCTTCTCTCTTTTGAAGAACCTTGTGCATGCCTTTTCCCTCCCTTTCCCCTTCCTTGAGGCTCCTGATCTGATTATCCCTCATTTCTTTTCTTCACTTCTTCCCGCACCTCCCTAATCTTATCTCTCCATTTGGCGGCCAACCATTAACTTTAAAGTTTATGTATTGTTTCTATGTTACCCCAAAACCGTAAACTTTTATTCTCCAAGAATGGTACTCATAAAAAGGGGGGGGATTTAGGGACCCTGCCCCCCAAAGTTTCTACGGCTACATTCAGCATCCCAACCAACCTCCTTTGCCCTTAGTGGGTCTAAATGTTGACACGCCGGGAGGGGAGCACTGCTGCGCCTGTATCCTTTGCGGGTTAATGAATATCGAGGCAAGAGAGAACCTCTCCGGTGGCCAAATAGCTGTTGTGGAAATTGAATGGGGAAGAAACTCAGAATGAGATGTCTGACACCTGGGTGCCTCTTTGTCTTTACAGGAAGTGGTTACCTGGAAGGAAAAGAGCTTCAGAACTTGATTCAGGAGCTCCAGCAAGCGCGGAAGAAGGCTGGATTGGTAGGTTGAAGTTTGCAAAGGAGTAAAAGGACCTTCGCCCTTAAATAAATAGATATTCTAGCATTCTCATAAACAGCCAGCGAAATCAAACGGTTTCCAGGAATGTAAACATTTATTTACTGAGAAGGGGAGAAAGGGCGCCTTTCCAAATTGTGGAGGGAGAGGGAGAGGGGGAAGGGGAAGGGGGAGAGGGGGAGAGAAAGGAGAGAGAGAGAGAGAGAGAGAGAGAGAGAGAGAGAAATTCCTTAAAGGGAAAAAACCTTACAATATGAAATCAGAGCTTTTAGAATATAAATTCTATACTTGTACTTTCTTTAATAGTGCTTAAAAGGAAAGTGTGGGTGAGATCTTTTAGCAGATCACCACCTCTTTGATTGAGTTCAGTTAGGTAATCTTTAACTTCTCTTCAACAGCCTGTAAGGGGGTAGAAATACATTTCTTCCCCTTGGTGGTCAGGAAACAAATCTGCATATTATGGATCTCTTATTCTATTGCCAATTATTATTCTTGTAATGTTGATGTGGTTGGAGTGATGAGAAAATGTCTTGTCTTGACCTTCCTCTCTGGGAGAAAGTTGTACAACTTTGCAACATAGCAATGAGCAAGGAATTTAGCAAAAAGGGGATTCATTTCTGTTGAGAAGGAGAAAACCAAAAGTTAGAGATGTAAAAAGTAATTTTAAGACCTTCACATATTTTAAACAAGCAAAGTGATACTCTAATGAGAAGCAATTAGTGGTGTTTTGAAAATAAGCTATATTTGTAATTTAAGCCATTAGTTAATTAAACAAATGACAATTTTTACTAATTATGAATGACTTCCTTTAGGTATAAATTAACCTGTTAAGAAGAGATATTGTCAGCATAAAAATAAAATATGCCCAGCTTTAAAACACAGATGAGATGATTACATAGAGGGAAATAGGTTAAGAATCTTACTAATCTATTGCGGTTTATGTAAGACTGCATTTCAGAAGGCAATGCTGGATTTGGGCTAGAGAGATGTTACCAATCTTTCGTCTTTTTGACTATCGTTAGAGATTTTACATTATAGACTATACATATATGTATATCTTTAGAGGAAAATATAGCTGTGTGTGAATCCTTTAGCAGATCACCACGTCTAGAATTGAGTTATATATATAATAGTACACATATATTATATATATCTGTACATACAATTTACTAATAATTCCCTTTTTGTTCTATCTAAATTGAAAATTGTGTGATACACATCTCTGTACAACATATTCAAAAGAATCCCAGAGAACACTAAAATATATTATGAAGCATTAAAAAACTATCAATTGCTAAAATCCAATGATTTAAATCAAATTGATTTAAAACCAGATAACACTCTGGGAATTGTTTTACCCAGATTTAATATTACATAAATTTGAAAGTATAATAGGATGAGATCAAATAAAATTGAAAATGTTTTATATACTTTCTCCATTCCCTTCCCCCACCTTATACATTACCATGTAAATAAATTCATGCAATACTATCATTATAGCTCTATGTATCTTTGACTAATAAAACATTTTCTTCCACATTTAAAAATATAAATATTTAAAAATCTGGTTGGAAAATATTACCTGACATAAAATTTTTCATTAAAACCTTGAAAGATGCTTCCAGCAGCTAAATGATTATATTTTAATTGTTCTGGAAGTAATTTTAATATTTATTTTCATTTAGAAATTCAGATATTTAGAAACTCTATACATGTTTTCAGATACTTCTTTTCCTCTTCCCATTTTAATATTTATACTTTTTGCAAACAGTGACTTCATGTTAGAGTTTTAAAGATTTTAGATCTTAATTATTTTTTTCTACTGCCAAGGTTCCAATTCTAGAATATTGGAAACTGTAATTATTAGATTATTATACCAAATTTGAGCACAGGTACAGGATTATATCAAGTTGCTTAATACCTTGATTATTGAATATTTTGTGAATTATGTAATATAGGCTTTGAATAGTTAAAATCTAAATCAAGATATGGATTGAGAGATTCATGTAGTAGACAAATATTTCACTACTGACCCCATTGTACTAAATCTACTTTTATATTTTTTCTTCTCTTTTTTTTAGAACTTAAAGGTTGACCTTATAAATCCAGTTTCTTTGCATTTCTAGCAATAGGATAACAGAGTTTACTGTATTAATGGAAACATTGTTTGGCTTATCATATTAATAATGTGAAATTTCAAAAATTTCAATAATATTAACTATAGGTGAATATAACATTAATGAAATATAACAACCCAGTCTACTTTCAGAGCTACCATTTTTCACTAAACATAGTTTTTAAGTTTGCATTTCTTTTTTATAAAGCTTTAATTTGTTATTATTATTATCATTATCATTATGTTTTACACTGTTTAAAACATAAATTTGGACTAGAGGTATACACTGTTTTAAGTTTACTTTACACTTTTTTGTTACTTTAAGGTATGTGTAAAGAACATAACTGATAGTCACACTATTGCCACTTTCACTTTCTTACAATTGTTGCTGTAATAAAATAAATAAACTTTAATAAATACAAGTTGAAATTAATCCATATTGGAAGAGATTTTTAAGTCTATATTAAATTGCTTAATTACTATTTGTTACCTCAGTTCTACTAAAGATATTTACTTTTAACCAAAGCAGGATTTTGTAACACTAGTAATAATAATATTCAGCCTCAATATAGCCATCAAATTATATCCCTAGAGCAAATGTGTGTGATAGATAATATCACTATCTTGTTAGTTATGATAAAAACTGAGACCTTAATTTACTTTTCCAAGGACACAGAATAGGACACTCATAAAGGCTGACCTATTTTACATAGGCTTCAGTTAATGCAAGAGGGCTATTTTAAATGGGCTATGTTGAAGACCCAAGGGTATAAATCCAACTTCCTGAATACTAGTTCTATGTTCAGGTTACTAGTTTACAGTTCAGAGCTCTCTAATCTGGCAATATGTGAAGAGATTATGTAAGCAATAGAATACATTGAAAAAAATAAGTCAAATGAGATGAAAGCATTCACTTTGTCACTCTTAAACATGTCTTATGAACATAACTAAATGGGAGAGAGAACATCATCTTGGAAAAAAAAAATGGAAACAAGGAAACACTGGAAAACTGCTCCCTAAATTACCCTTGGAGTCAAAGATCTTAAGCATATACAGTCAGTGACCAAAATAAGGTCATCTGTATTGTCTGTCTCTAATGAAATTGCAAATTGGTCAAGTTATTTTTTTTAATCTGACACATATTTTTCTGATTTTTAATTTGTAAGCAAAGAATGTTTCTAACTACTTCCATGCTGGAAACATTCTTTGCTTACAAATGAGTTGCTCTTGAACATTCACATTATTTGCTTGTCTGAAAACACATATTTTTAACTTCCATGGATAAAACATGTTATAATAAATAAAATGTTATAGGGCAATTAGTGCAGCAATATAAAATAAATTTTCCTGAAGCAAGCAATGTTAAAGTACTTTCACAGTGATCATTATATTTAAATTCACTAAATGTTATGAACTGAATGATTCTGACTACATTCTCAAAGGATAACATATTCTGAAAACTAATAATAGAAGATAAATCATAGTGATTGATTCAGACATAATAATGTCATTTGAAACCAGTAAAAACTGTATATCACTTGTATCTTAATTTTCATGAAAATAGTTAATCAGTATGCATAATTCTGAATGGTTCTAATTCCAGTTTTTCTTTACAACAAGTTATTACACCATCAAAAGCATACTGTTTGTTTGGTTTTTTTTAAAAAAAAAAAAACTTCTTACCTGCTTTTTTATAATTTTAGGAGTTATCACCTGAGATGAAAACTTTTGTGGATCAGTATGGGCAAAAAGATGATGGAAAAATAGGAATTGTAGAGGTAAGGAACTTACGCATTGTTCTCATATAGTTTTAATAAATGAGATTTTTGGAGTTGTATTCAACTCAAACATGATATGGCAAGACCTGTTCCAAGAGGTTTATTTTACTTAAGTAACATATTATCTTTTGTTCAGAAATATAAAATCAAAAACTGCTCAGAAATTAAAGAAACCTAAGAATTTGCATAATCCAAAACTGAAATTTAATACATTATGAAACTAAGACCTGGAGAAGTGAAATGATTTGCCTTTGACTATGTTAACTGTTTGCTGGCACTGGTGCAGTTAGAGGCTCAAGTCCCTAACTTCTGGATGAGTACCCATCCCATTACATTACCCAGATTCAGTTCAATAAAACACCAACCAAGTACATGGTTCGTTGGTATTTCTTATTGTTTAACAGTGTAGACTTTTCTGTTAGAATATAAAATAAAGTATTTGCAGTCCCTAAATGATATCATGGCAAAAAGCTGCATGCTGGTTTCTGAAATTCCATTTTAGATTAGCAGTTGGCCTTATAAAAACATAAGAACTTAGCTAAAGTCAGTGAATATTTTATGATGTGTTATAGGTACAGATTTCTTTTGAGTCTTTAAGAGTTAAAACTCTCGGTGTCAAATCTTATCTTTTGACAATGACTTTTCCCATTGAGGACAACTTTTTTTTTGTCTATGAATCAAGGAGGCAAAACTTTGACTATACATTAATTCTTCAGCATTCTCAGATTTGTGAAACAGCTGTTGCTTCCCTTACTTCTACTTTTATAAAATCTAGTGTCTCAGCTACTTTCTTTAACTCTGCAACCCATTAGAGAAGTTGAGTGAACAACTTTGTCCAGAAAAATTAATAAGGTCATATTTTAAAATATACCAAATACAGGCATAATTATGTTATTTATATAATGTTCTTAATGTATTAGATTGTGAAGTATTCTGGCTGTCAACAACATTTAGTCATAATTTACCTTTGATTCAGAGAACTAACCTGGTTTTCAAATAATTGATCTTATAGGACACCTGTGATGTCAATGTGAAATACACTTATTTTTAAACAGCTACCACAAATAGAGTTAAGGAAGAACATACTATTA